CTCTGTTGCATGGAAATCTATCTACACTGTGGCTCTGTTTGTGGGATTTTCTATATTGTGGCTCTGTTTGTGTGACCTTCTGCTCACACCATGGTGGTCTGTGGAATTCTGTTCCTGCAATGGCTTGTTTAGGGAGAGTTTGTGCCACAGCTGTCCGTGGGATCTTCTCGTCATGCAGTGGCTCTGCCAGTGTGAGAGTATTTCCATGCCATGGCTCTGTGAATGGCACTCTGCATGCTGATGCTCTGCAAGTGATAGTCTGGCCATGCCACGGCCCTCTTTGGGTGGTATTCTACCTACATCATCCCTCTTCTCCCCTTCATGATCCTTTTCCATATTTCCTATAGAAGGAGGAGGAAACATTTTAAAAGCTACAGAAGAAAACAAGTAACAATTTCTTCTTGAGTTTATTTTGTAATGTTATACTATGTAAGTTCCGGGGAGGGGATAAAGAGAAAGTATAGGAAAGGGAGGAAAACCTCGCAAGTAATATGCCCGCTTTTTCCAGATTTGTCACCAATGCAAGACTTCAGAGTCAAAGCTTTGAACACCCTTGGGAAGGCTTGGTGACACAGAAATGTGTCAAGCAAGGCTGTAGACTGGTGGCTCCCTTGGCCAAATCCCACTGATGTGTTTTGTTTGGCTCACATAGTATTTGAAAAATATTCAAATTAGCTTAAAACATAGGAGTTTTCATAATAAAAAATTCTAGCTTTACTTGAAAAATCAGGAAAACTAGTTTCCAGGCTCTGTGGCTGGTCGGTGGCTACCCCCGTGCAAGGGGGTGGCTCTTGGTCACAGCTCCTCCACCAGCACAGGCCCTGGGGTCCTGGAGTGTACTGATTCCAGGCTACAAAACTCCTAGACTGAGGCTCAGAGCTCCATTCACCAGTGGGGGTGGCCTTTGAGCCTGGCATTTACTGCTGGAGTCTTCCTCCTCACCTGTACTTAGCAGCTGTGTGAAGGTGTGTGTGTGTGTGTGTGTGTGTGTGTGTGTGTGTGTGTGAGAGAGAGAGAGAGAGAGAGAGAGAGAGAGGGAGAGAGAGAGAGATTCTATCTTAAAAACAAAGCACAGCACACATGTAAAAAATGGATTCTCAGCTACACAGAGGCCTGTGGTCAGGTGGGCCTTTGGGAAGAGGTGCTTTGTGGCAATCTGTGGACATCGAAGGGAATTTCCCAGCCTCCTTCTATGATAGTTGAAACCATTTCTTTCTTTAAAAAATTTATAATGTGCTTTTAAAAATTATTATTATTATTTTACAAGATCCATGCCCTCTGTGTGGTGCTTTATAGGGCATATCTGGCTACAGCTGGAGCACTTCTGGGTGTTTTATGGCAAATTATTCTCAGATTACCCTTTAATGCAGGAAGGGCTGCCTGTTGTCTGAGCTCCCTGGGTCATACAGAAAACCCTCAGACTTGATACAAAACAGCTGCCTCAGTCAGCTGTTCCAAAAAAGGAGCATTTTCAGACTGAAGCAGCAGGAAAAAAGTTTTTGTAGCTGGTGGAGATTTTGAAAAATGCTAAATTACTCTTTCCTTGCCATTAAAATGTGATTTAATTTTGTTGCTAACGAATTGTGTAAATCTGAAAAACAAGTGCTCTGAAGGAGAATTTGTTAAGTGTGTTCTGGCAATACTTACAGTATGTCCTGAGGGGATGGTCCCCAGGGAAGGCAGCACAAAACTCCCGCTGACCCCCATGTCCCTGGGCCTCAGCACGGCTGGGCTGGGGTCAGGGGGCCAACCCACTGGCCTCCCTCCCCTCGCTCCTCTGGGTCCCTGCTGAGACCAGGAACAAAGAGGTCAATTGTCTGAAGCCTCCCTTTGGCTGAGGGGCTCCTGGACCTCTGGATGCCAAAGTGTATCCATGCTCATGGATACATGCACAGATGCATACCTTTCTGAGTGTACATATGTGTACACAGGTGCACCTGTGATGGTTCATGCCTGTGGCTGCATACGATGTGTGTGAGCACATGTATGCATGTATGTGCACACACACATGCACACGAGTGTGCACACTCTGGTGTGGTGTGTGTATCTGTAAGTGTGCACCTGCAGGGTGTGTACAGTGCACACATGCATGAGTGTGCCTACATGCAAGCAGGTTTGTACACTTGTGATCATGTGCACCTGTGTGTGGTATGTCCGTGTGCACACATGTGTGAGGCTTGCTTGGAACACTTTTGTGTTACTGATGCATCTGAGCAGGCTGAGGGTCTCGGGGAGGCAGAATTGACTGGGGAGCAAAGCCCTCTGCTCCATCTCTGGGCAGCGGATGCAGTTGCCCTCTGCTGTGGTATAGAATGCTCAGAGAGGCCTCCCTCCCCTGCTTTCTTGCAGGACTGAGGTGGAGCTGTCATGGATCCTTTGCACGCAGCTCATTAGTCAACTTTGCCTCAAGAGCCTATTCTTAAGTGGGAGGTCAAAGCAAGACCCACAAGCACTTTCTTACATTGTTCCAGCCCTTTTTCAGAGTTGCCTGATGAGACCCAATGCATTCTTAGTGACATTTCAGCCATGTTTCCAGAATGTGAAAATATGCTGTTATTGCCTACCCCATAAGTTGGTTCCTATGTAGCCCCAGGGCCTTTGCATGACCCATTGCATGGCCCCTAGCAAGGCTTGTTCATACAAAGGCCTGCAGGGAGCTGGGGTGGACTGGCCTTTGGTACAAGCTACCCTGCCCGCTGGAGTTGCCATGATTCACACTTTCTTCCTTAACAAGTTATTCTGTTAGAAACTCTAATAAAACTCATTTGATTCAGAAGCCTGGGAAAGAAGAATAAAAATGCTTCATTGAAATTCACCTTTGCAAAAGAGTTGTCTTGGGCCAGGGATGTAGCTCAGTGGTGCGCCCCCCCAAACCCTGCCTCATAAGTGCAAGGTCCTGAGTTTGATCCCCGGTAAAAGAGTTATCTTCCACCTCTTTTAACTAGCACAGTTGCCACTGAATAATTTTTGCTGCTTTTCTGTCTGCCCCTCCCACCTCTATTTCCTCTCCTTACTCCATCTAGCAAGGGCTTATCTTTCAACTGTGGAAAAGCCATCAGTTAAACTGTACTCCAAAGCTTACCAAAATATTCAGTTGGTAAAATTCTTATAATTAGCCAAACTGTAAGCTAGAACTGTTAACTCCAGGAAATGTAAAGTGACCTAGCATGTGAAATCTGCAAATTGGTCATCCTGACCTTCTTGGTTACAGTTTCTGCTTTTATTTTTTTCCCCAAAGTAATTTCCTCCTTTGTTCTTTACATTCTTGATAAACCCTGAGGTGTCTTTCTCTTCTGTTTGTTTAAGTCTCAACATTAATATATGTCCAGTTTAGTTGAGATAGATAATTAAATAAATGCAGGTGAGTGAGATATGAAATCAACTTGATTTTTTGTATTTCATTCCTGTACTTTGACACATTCTTTTTGTAAATGGAAGTCTAGTTTCCCAAGTTCCTGGTGGCTTACCATCTTTGGTTCTGTATTGCCCATGCCTGCAGTGATAGCCCAGTGATCCTGATCCGAGTTATTCCATCAGTATTTGGTTCTGCAGTGCATCCTGCTGGACAGTGGCACTGGGCTTTCTTATCATGATTGCTTCACTTTGCCTGGTTCTCTCTCAAGTTTTTTCCCTCACCTTTCTACCGTCCTAATGCCTGGGGTCCCTCCTGGCATTTTGCACCATCCAGGACAGCACTGTAAATGTCATTCTCCACACTCGAACCCTGTTGAGAGATACAGTATTAAAGAGATCACAAGAGACCCTGGGGATCTTAAGGTGCAACTTAAACATTTTGTACAGAAATAATATTATAGGTGATGGTAGGTTCTTAACTACTGTGAGTTTCTAAGTGAGTAATGGCATTGTTAGGCACAAGCCAATGCATGAGACTTACATAGATGTGTAAGTTGGACACTGACCATTGTTTTTTAGCTGAGGACTTTTTATTTTTTTGGAGGAATCTCACTATGTAGCCCAGGCTGGCCTTGAACTCACAATCCTCCTGCTGCAACCTCCTGAGTAGCTGGTGTTACAGTCATGTGCCACCATACCTGGCTTTAGAACATTATCACAGCTTTAAAAACAAATTGAATAATTAAATTTTGGAATGCACCAACATTTTCATCAATGGGGTATTTTCAGTGCTAGCAGTGGTAGCTCATATTTATAAAGTTTGTCCTATCTGTAGGCATAAACACACAGATATAGAAAAAGTGCTTCATCTTTGTATTACTCTTGGGAGAAAATAATGATTTTGCTCATTTTACAGTTGGAAAAACTGAGGTCTGAGAGTCTCAGTAATTTACATATACAGCTGGACTTGACTGGCCTGGCTCTTTTGTGAACCATGATTGACCTTGTGTGAACAGGCTGAGGCTAGGTTTTATGGTTTGAACCCATATATGCTTGAAATGTTTCCACAACACCCCTGCAGAGTAAAGAGGAAATCACAGCTTTACCTCACTCTTTGGTTGCTGCTGTGCCCAGCAGTTGCATGCATGATAACTTGCTGTCACATTCCATTTCTTTGGTGTCCTCAGAGCTGAGATTTGCTGGCCTTGAGCTGATGTTCCATGTGGCCCATTTTTCTTGGCAACTTGGGCCCCTGGGGTGGGGAGAGGTGAGGGGACCCCACTCAGGGCTTTGCTGTCCTAATGCCAACCTTGGAATCAGCCACACACTGATGTCTCATCCTCCCACTGCTGTCTCAGGGCTAAAAGAGTCCCATTCTGGAAGTCTTTCCTGATGAAAGACATGTCCTTTCTAATCCATAGTGAAATATCTTAGGCCTCTTTAAGACTCTTCCAAAATATGGTGCTCCTTTAAAAGCAAGGTTGAAACTAAAGGTCTATCATTAAGTATCTTATTTATGAAGCGTTAGTAACAAGGTACTTTAAGAAATGTTTGAAAATAATTGACCATGTTAAGTTAATGTTCTTGTGAATTCAGCATGTTCTTGACATTGTTTAATTTGTGTTTCTTTCTCTTCTTGATTACAGCTTGGGTTGACGATAGCCATTCGCTATAGCCACAGGTAAAGCTTTACATCTTTTTTTTTCTTTTCTTTTAAAGAAATGTACTTATTGGGCTGGAGCTTTTGGTTTGTTCTATTCCTGAAGCTTTTGAGTTTAGTTTTTGTGTCACAGATGAAATTATCCTAGCTGCTTAATTGGTAAGAGCAAATTACTTTTGGAGGACTAAAGATTTTACATAGAAATGTGGTGGGTAGAACATTTCTGTTGAATCACAAAAATGGGAAGCTCTGTAGCAAGGACACAGATGTGGTTTCTGGGTAAAGCACTCTGCCCAAGAGTGAGAACTGAAATGTCCTGCTTTTGAGATGAGGCCAGGCATGTTTGTGTAGCCCTTTCCCCTGTCCGCAGGACCTCTTCTTCCTGTCTTAGTACATCTGACAGTGGCAAAAGCCCCTAGTTTTGTTCTGCTGTAGGATTTTACCTTGGTCTCAATTGCATTATGGTAAGGAAAAAGTACTTTTTCTTGTACTACCAATGCAATCTTGCACTGCAATGCTTGTTTCTATAATCAACCCTTTTCAGTCTGCATGCATCAAATGGTGTTGAGTTAATTAAAGCAGAACTCAACCCCAATAGAGAGATGATAAACAGTGTCCCTTGTCCTCATACAAAGTGCTCTCACAGCCTCCCCAAAGTGTCACCCTGGGGTAAAAGGCTTGGGGCTCAGGGACTCCTGGTCTGCTTTCCATAAACAACAGTTTCCCAATTTCAAAACAAATTTGCCTCCAAAAATGTGTGGAACAAGTTGAATGTATGGTTTCTATTTAAATGTGAATTGGGCAACCATGGGCAGTTCCTGTGACCTAGAAAGCTGCTAGGAAGCTGTGTACCTATAAGCAGGAAGGAGTGGATTTGAACCCATTGGGATGAATGCATGGGAAGAAAAATGTCCATGTTGGACATTTCTAGGGCCTGTGGAAGAAGGCCATGTGTACCAGTGTATTTAATATAGGTTTTCCATGACACAGGAGCCTTCATAAGGAAATGGCAGCCCACAGTGGAGAATATGCCTGGGTGAAAGAGGTGTGACCTAATGGTAATAAACTGTGGGGGGGGCGGGGGGGGGCGGTTAGCTTGACTCTTGAGCCCAACTCTTCTCTGTAGTCCTGTGTCTTCAGAGATTAGAATATTCTTTTGTGTATTAGGAGGGCATCTCTCCAGTGGCAGTTTTACGATCTGCTTCAGGGAAGGTGAGGGTGACCTTCTTCCGTCATTTTCTCAGCAGGCTGCCAGGATGTAGGGTAGTGAGTCCTGAACCCCATCCATTGCTTGTGTGTACACCATGTGTGCTCACAGGAGTGCAGTGACCTGTGGGAACATGGTAGCCCTTGTTAGCACAGCCAGGCTGCTGCAACTACTGCGCTCTTAGCAAGCATACTATGGACATTGAGCCCTAGCCTAAAGCTGACTGGGTACTGGGGTACTGGTGTTGTGTCAGGACTGGGGGTTGGAAATGTTCTCCTAGCAAGAGCCCCTTTTTCTAAATGTTCTAAATGTGGTCTACTCTGGAATGAGATGGTGTGTGTGTGTGTGTGTGTGTGTGTGTGTGTACATACATGCATGTGGATGTGGATGTGTGTTCATGTAAGAGAGAGAGATTTTGACATCCTCTTTCATGAGTCCTGCATATTGAGGAAGGCAGTAGCCTCTTTATACATAGACAGGAGCCAAAGGTCCCTCTTCCCTAGAAAAGCTAAGATTGTGCTCTAGTTCAGAACAAACACAAGCCCTTTCCTGTGATGGTTAGGGTTACTTTCCTGTGGCTTAGAGAGGTATAACTTGTGCAGAAACCCAGAATCTGTACATAGACTGAGAATACAGGTTTTTTTAATACTTTGTCAAGATGAAGGTCTTTTACCCAAGTACTGGCCCTTTGAATCAGTAAGATGGTAGGGTGGGGTTGACCTGGCTAGGTCCTTGGAGGCAAGGACTTTGCTCCTGTGCTTACCACCACTAGGCCAGCATGTGTGAAGATTCTGACTCTCCATCCAGAGGCCATGGGGGATGCTCGGCATCATTCCGTGTTGCTACCAACAACACACCTGAAGTTGGAGACTCTTCTCTGGATGGAGCATGACCTTCACTCAGGAAGGGAAAATGTCTCCTCAACTTTCACTGGGTGGTGACTAAGCCACACCCCTCCATGGGGTGGTGGTGAATTCTGGAAGGAAGCACTTTACCTGGATTGTCATCAGTTTTCCCTGTGGTTGGTTCCTTTTTCCCCAAAGCACCCGGCCTGCCGAAGAAGTGTGGTTAGACAATAGTGCCCATGAGGCAGAGTGAGAAAGTGGACACCGTGAGAGATGATCCTCCAGGAGCTGAGTTTAGCCTTCTATTGTGATGAGGGAAAAGTGTGGGGCATCTGCCATGGCTTAATGGGCACTTCCACACCTCGCCTTACAGGACTTAAAATTTCAGGCTTAAGACTTGGAATATAGGAAGCAATTTCAGCTCTGAATCCTCAGATTTGCTGCTGGTGTGGGCTTTAGTATCTGTGGTCCAAGGAATTTCTTTTTGCTTCTTTGTTGAGAAACCATTGAATAGCCAGGGGCTGACAAAGGGGTCAGTGTCACCTGGATTTTGCAGCCTCAGTTCTGTGTTTACCAGCTGAGTGTTTTGGGACAAGTGACCTATCTTTCTAGCCGTAGGCTCTACAATCTGTTCTCCAGTTTGTCCAGAGTAAATTCCCTTCCCCCCGTTGCCCTCTCTCACTCTTTACCTAGATATACCTATCATGAAAGTTGTTAAAGAACAGATACTAAAGGCACAGAGCTCTGAACCCAGCTACCAGCAAGGCCTGTGTGAAGATGGTGTGACCCTCAAAGCATTGGCCATCTTATCGATGTAGTAAGAGGAGAGTTGTCTCAGAATCCGTCCATGCCATGTGTTTGCCCTATATGAAGGAAGAGGGGTTAGTGGACAAAAGATTTTTCAGAGTTTGGAGCTTTGGAATTGCTAACTTAGGGAGCCATTTACAGAACCTCCTCTGGTTCCCCTGGCTACCTAAATCACCAAGCTCCCATTTATCGTGCTCCTGTATTCTGTGAATACAGGTATGAAGTTGGCAGTGGAGGTGGCCTATATCTGCTTTATAGAGTCTAGAGCCTCTGTAGGAAGTCTTTTGGGCTGGGGACTTCATTATCTGAAGCCTCATTTACTCGAATGTCTGGTGGGAGATACTGGCTTTTTATAGGGGGATCTCTGTTCCTCTCCACATGGGGTAGTTTGGGCTTCCTTGTAGCATAGTTGTTGGCTTTTTCAGAATGAGAAAAGTCTTAGAAAGAGAGATGCTGCCTCTTTTCAGTGACCTAGCCTGAGAAGCCACAAGGCATCATTTCTACCTTATTCCATCAGTGGAAACAGCCACCAGCCTCCAGACCTATAGTCAAAGGGAGGAAGCAGATGCTCAACCTCTCAGTGTAAAGAGGGTTAGTAACCGAGCACATGAAATGACAGATCTCAGTGGGACCCTCTTTGGAAAATGCAGTCTGCCACTGAGTCTAACAATGTGGGAGTCTGTATTTGGAGGACTTGTGAGAAGAAATTTAAGACACTGTGTTTGTTACAAGGTGCTTACTAGTTGGGAAAGCACAGTATGTAGGAAGACTTCAGAATAGACACACACCTTATAGGAGGAGGTAAATAAATCAAGGGAGGTTTCTTAGAGAAAGTGAGTCTTAAACTATCATCCTTCTTTTACAGTGGGAAGGCAGGAAAGAGGCCCAGATAACTCAAGAGATGTCCCTGGGAGGATAATCTTCATATCCCTTAGAACACATAGTCTTTAAATTACTGTTCAGCATTTATTTGGAAGAGAGGCTGAGTTTGAGTAACATTCAGAGATGTGAGATAGATCTTGGCTCCTCTACATTTCTCTGTAGTCCTAGTGGCTCAGTCTTAACCCCAAACTTAGAATTCATGCTTCAAAACAGAAGTCCTGCAGAGAATTAGACAGTATCTGAGAAGTAAGCTTGGCGGCTCCCACCCAAATATCATAGCAGCAAGCTCCTGCCAGCCACTTATGTGCTTTCAGCTGGAGATATCCTGGGAAAGGTGGCTTCCCCATGAGCTGTGTCCACAGGGATGTTGCCTCCAGGAGGTCCTGTCCTGTGTGTTGGCTCTATGGTGTTGGATGCACAAGAGAGGTTTTGCAACATAAATGCAGAAAAAGCAACCAAACAAAACTCTAACAAAGTTGGAAAAGCTATAGTTGAAAGTAATGAAACTGAATGTTATGGTTTAGATATAAAATGTCCCCCAAAAGTCTCATGTTCAGAGTTGGGGACTGGTTAGAAGGGGCACATCTCTAGGGGTGTCCTCCTTGGCTTCTCTTTTCTCTCTCTGCTTCCTTACCACCATGTGGTGAGTAGCTTTCCTCTACTCTACTGTTTCTGCTTTGGAGCCAGCTGACCATGGACTGAACCCAATAAAATGGTGAGCCAAAATAAATAAATAAATAAATAAATAAATAAATAAATAAATAAACCTCTCCTTCTTTAAGCTGTGGGTGTCAAGCATTTTGTCCCAGTGACTGTAAAAAAACACTGAAGAAGAGCAAAGAAGACATCTGCTGAGACTTCCTTTAAAGCCCCAAGTTCTTTTGCCACCAACCTTGGAAGCTAAGGATCTGGGAGCAGTCACAGAAAGCTGCCTGCAGTTGGTGTCACCTACACAGGACTCAGAAAACTGCAGGAGCAGGAGAATAATTGAAAAGTTATTGCAATACTCAGAGCCCTTGACCCAACTGTGACTGATACCTTTGATGCTGTGGAAACAGAAGACATCATCAAAAGGTTGTGTTATCCAAAAATTATTTTTGAAATATAATGAATTCTTGCTTTAAAATTCCAGAAAGTATTCCTGTATCTGTAAGTCTATGGTGGGAAGAGACCTACATTTGAAAAATTCTCATTCACAAGTAATTTACGGCACTTAGTAAGGTGTCACTATAGAGCCATCTGTAGGCCAGGCCTGCACCACCTGCTCCTCCACCTCCACC